CTTTAAGTCTTTGCCTTCATTGCGGCTCGTCTCCGGTCAGGTTAAGGCCGGAGAACCAGCGTTACAGTATTGCTGTATCTTTGTTTGTGGTTAGAGAAGGAACAGCCCCAAGGCGGTGATAGGTTGCATGCATCCAGGCAAATACAAACACAACATAAAAGTGTATACAGAGGCTTAGGGTTTAGGGTTTAGGGTTTAGGGTTTACGGGTGCTTCGCTGTCTCCACATATATATGCTGGCTGGCTTGCATCACCAGAGACAGAGACAGGGGCAGTGCAGCCCCAGCTATGCTGTCTCCTCCTGTCTCCTCCTGTCTCCTCCTGTCTCCTCCCCCGCCCCTCTCATACAATCAATATACTTTGCGTGTTTCCACATAAGCAGCTGTAACACACTCTACAGTATCCCTGCAAGATATAGGGGAGACTGCTTCGGCGTCAACAAGATATTCTCTAGGGTTTAGGGTTTAGGGTTTAGGGTTTAGGGTTTAGGGTTTAAGATGGCCGCAACGGCTCAAGGGCCTCGAGCTGACGCTGAGAGGCAACGCACCTGCAGGCTGCAGCAGCAGCTCCAAGACAACGCCGACTGCATGCATACTCAGCCCCCCTTTGCATGCATGCGCTAACACTTTGTGAATTTTTTCAACTCTTGATTGGCTTTCAGTAGCAGACGGGCTGTCGAGCAGAAATATATAAAACAACTTCAGACGCATGATGTCTCTCGTCACACGTAGCTGCTTGCTTGGTGCCTTTATGCTGCCTTGAAACATTCCCCCGCCGCTGCAGATGGATCCGGGTACGGGTGCTACAAGCTGCGTGCATGCAGCAGCAGCCCCAAACCCCCACCTGTATCGGCGGCGTGGAAAGCGGGGCTGCGGTGTAGCCCAGAAGGGCCGGAGCGCAACGGGTCGAAGAGTGCACTGTTGTATTAGAAATCCATTCAGCAGAGGGGAGCAGATCAACCCGCGCTGATGCTTTTTACACAAAACAGAGCCGCAGCAACTACCCCAGGGCGTTGTTGCTGGCTCGATTTCTTTTGGTTGCCTCCGGGTGGTCCAGGGCAGCCATGCGGCGGTGAACGCATGCAAAGAACGCTAACGATCCTCTGCTCCTTGTCAGTGCTGATGCTCTTCAGAAAGCTGTTGAGCTCAGAGACGTGGTTAGTAAATAACCAGGCAAAGTCATCTGTAGTAAGTGAATTTAGAGAGGAGAAGAATTTGGCAGTTTTTATGTTTCTACGCAGAGTGTATATTTTTATCATCTCCCCTGGCGGGTTGTGAATTTATTGTAATATTCATTGGGTTGTCCGTGGTAATAATTTAGGAATCTGAAGAAATTGCTAAGCTGCGGTGTCTGTTGAGGTTCCCGATATATATATATATATATATATATATATATATATATATATATATATATATATATATATATATATATATATATGGTGGATGAGAAACGCATGCAGCAGCGGGGCCAGCAGCAGAAGTTTTCTGTTTATCCCTTTCCATAGTTTTCCATCTCTTATGTTGTTTGCTGCTGCTCTTGCTGCAGCAGCAACAGCAGCAGCAGGAGATAATACTATAGGCCTCCTAAAGGGCTTGGCGGGCCGGTCCTTTGTTGTGTTAACCCCACAACAAACGCTACAGCATGGTTATATATTTTGTTAAAAAGGTTTTACGCAAAGGTAGAAAGTACAATAGAATGCATCACCCTAAACCCTAAACCCTAAACCCTAAAGCCTGAATGTATGCATCTTCTAGATCATTATCCCTGCTGTATTGCTTGACCTGTCGTCCATTGCTGAGCTGATTCAGAACCGCGGCAGCGTAAGCAGATAAGGAGCAGAAGCAGCGGGGTTTAGAAAGGGCATCAGAGTAGTCGCCTGCATGCACAGTTCCCCGCCAAAGTAAGTAACCGATGAAGCCTCAGGAGAGTGCGTCAGCCACCGCGGTGGTGATACCCTCGATATTCTTAGCCGTGAAGCCGTAGTACTGCATGCGCCGGCAAAGCCACTGAACACCACAGAAATTCGAGAAGATATATGACGGGGATCGATAAAACTTTTCACAGAAAAATTTCCGCATAGAAGTTATCTCAACACTTCTTTAGCCCCAGCCAGAGGATGTAGAGTTTCTCCTCAGACAACAAATTCATATACTCTCTCGTTGATTGTTTTTTCTTTTTTTCTTTTTTTTTCTTTTTTTTTTAAGCTTCTCGATAGCAGGAAGCGCGAGGCCTTGAGACGCTGCCAGGTGTCTGATGAGGTTCCTAGAGGCATTTCCTTCCACGTTGTTCCTACGTTTATCTATCTATCTATCTATCCATATCTATCCATATATATATATATATATATATATATATATATATATATATATATATATATATATATATATA